GTGTTGTAGAGTCATTCAAAACTTATGATGATAGTGCACTAGTTAAAACTGCAGATATTGGACAGGTATGGCACTCACTAACAATGTTCACTTACATTTGAAGATAACATGAATGCTTCAGTTCTAATATGGTGATGTAAACTTTGGATTGCTACAGATGATTATGGTTAGAGAACCTGGAGATGCTTCTCCAGACATGGTGGAGTACAGGCATGGTCTCACCCCTCCTATGAGGGATGCACGAAAGCGAAGATTTCGGAGAGAGCCAGATCTAAATGTATCTATAACTGTTATCTTTCAAAACATTGCTAATTCACAAAAAATGTTAATTTTGACAAGAAAAACCTGCTGCGATCCTGTGTATGAATTGCAATTTGCCAGCAGACTTAAATTCTACTTCAATAACTGCAGTGATTCATATTTGGTTAAAAATAAGTGTTTTAATGCTAAAGAAGCTTAGTTCAGATACATTGAAATCATTTTAGCTAGAGAAAGCAGCACATAATTGATAGCTACCTTACTTTGGAGATGTAATAGCGCTGGATTTTTTATTTTTTCAATAGGAGATGCTGCATGTAAATGAAATTGTGGCTATAATGCAGTTATTCTTTTCTTTTTATCAAGTGATTTATTGATGCCACTTTTGATAATTTTGCAGCCGGAGCTTGTACAACGTGCTGAAAAGGATCTGGTTAATATCATGTCTGGTGGGACAGGCAAATATGTTGGTATCCTTAATATGCACATAATTTCAGTTTTTCTTCTTCTTTTGTCTAATCTTTGAACTAATAGTCTTCTGCTGCTCTGGAGCACAATTCCAATGGTTGATTGGGAAACCATTTGAGCACTCATGGCATTAATTTTTATTGCTACTAGACTATATATGTTTGTTTTTCTATGGATGATCTTCTTTAAATCTACTACAAAGTGGGAAGATATGACAGGGGACTTTTGAAAGCTATTCCTAATTCCAGTACTTCTTGGCTGACTGTCTGTGTCTTTGTTATGCATTTCTGTTTATCCCTTAATTCATGGATTCCTTGCTGAAGTCAATGAGCAAGTGGAAGATGCTGAGGGGAATGCTCGCAATACAAACAAGAAAGCTCCACCTGTACCTGAATCAAAACCTGATGTTCCAGATGCAGTAGCCAATAATGCGGAACCTGAGAGAAGTGAATCTGATGACTCTGATGATTCAATATGATTCTAGCTAACATTAAAAGCTTAATCATTGTAGAGGCTCATTCGATGCAGTGAAGACGGTGTCCCCAGCATCATTCATCAAGCTCTGTCCCCAAATTTTCATCTTGTAACATATTTGTAATGTTCTGCGGATGGCATAACTAATGTAGTATTGATCATTCTTGGTTAACCACTACAATGAACTATATTTTCATTTTTCTTTTTTTTTTTTTCTTTCTTTCTTTCTTTCTCTCTTTTTTTTTTTTTGGGTTACAGATTGAAGTAAAAAGGAAAATAGAACTTTTCATTTTAGTATAGCTTTGCCTGTCAGAGTT